TGGTGCTTCCTGAACCAGTTCTGGGACACAATCTCACATGTATGTAAATGAACAGCCATCAAGAGAGAATATAATGTGTATGTCCTAACATAAACTTTTACCCTGTTTTATTAAGGAAATCAAATGATGTGGTTCGGGGAATACTTATACATTTTACCTTTGTTCTAATTAAAACATTTAAGTAAATGGCTGGCTTTGTTCACTTTTTTAATGAGAAAACTTTGGTTCCGTATGTAAGTAAGTAAATCCTTTAATTCAATTAAAAATCAACAGATACGTCCAGTTGTGTATTTGCGGCATGACCAGACAGCCGACTCAGCTAGGAGAAAACAACCGCTTTGTTGTGGGTATTTTCTTCTGTGTATCAACTAAAACAAAAATTGGGTCATGCAATATTTGTTCTCTGGACAAAGCAGCATTTTTCAGTGCTCGGACTTCCCTATAATTAGCAAGGATGACCAATATGGAACAAAGAAACAAAGCCTTTTTATTGTTTCTTTGTCTAGCAGACAGGATATGACGCCTCTTTCAGAGGACAACTGGAAAAATTTCTGAAAAATAGCCAGTCCACCAGCTACTCAAAACGTCACTGAGTCCATAGCCAACAGCACTTCAGTCCGCTATCTGGGAAAGCACTGCTTTGTAGAAGCCGCCATCTTGAATAGGATGATAAATGCAGCAGTCTTACTTCCTACCTTGGCATATTCCTCGCTTCCTACACTGCATGTGCAATATTTTTAAATGCACATTTGATTTGCTTTTCTGATAGCTCTTTAATTATTCTTGGATATGTTGTCTTTATTTCTCACCCTCTTTACATAAGAGATGAAATTTTACCAAACTATGCTATATCATCTTTTTCTCCTCTCTCTCGCTTAAAATCCTAAGGCAGATTTTTAATCTATTTCCTTGGACGAGGCATATATAAAAGAGCTGTAGGAAGCCAAGAACCACCGGAAAATGCATACAAAAATTGTGTCTCCTGAGAAAAGGATCTGTGCCTTTGTTCACACTCACAAATAGATGTATAACCCTCCCGATTTTAGGAACTTCTCTCCTTTTTCCTTTCCATATCTATTAGTTAGGAAATGCTTAATTATATCACATGCCACTCATAGGTTCTACCAAATAAACTCTGTCTCCACCTTACTTTTCCCATTATTATAATTCACTGCTGGCTTCAGATTTTCTCTTGTATTTCTGAATTTTGTGCTTTCTGTGTTCTAGTTTAAGTAATGGAAGAAAGAAAAGAGATATACCCTAACCTTCTACCAATAACAGTGGTTGGCATCTTCTTTATGTGACATCTTTTAAAAAAATTTTTTTTGTACCAGGAATCAAACTCATGACCTTGTGCTGGCCAGGCAGGCGCTGTGCCACTGAGCTGTATCCCCAGCTTTTTTATTTTAAAGAGAAGAAAAATAAACAATAAAACAATGGTACAAAATTTCAAAACAAGATTGTAGGAGAGTAACAGTGTTCAGTATATTATGCATTGCTATCTTCAAGGTAGTTGCTCATAATATAAGACAGAGGCATGAAAAATCATTAAGCAATGCAGTCGTATACCTGTCCTTTCAATGAGCTAATAGCAGTTAGTAGTATATCTATCTTAACTATCGTGTGTGTGTGTGTGTGTGTGTGTGTGTGTGTGTGTGTATTTCTCCTTTTCCGTTTGTTCTTTTCTCCTTTCTCCCATTGTAGTTTCTTTATTTTTGAGCATTTTAGTCCCATTTCACAATATCTATTGTACATTTTGGGTCTTGTTTACTCTTTTACCTTTTTACCCTAGGGAGACAACATGATGTTTACACACATGAGACTGATTTATTTCACTTATGAGTATGGGCTCAAATTGCATCCATTTCCCTATAAATGTCTCAAGATTACCCTTCTTTATAGCTGAGTAGTACTCCATTGTATAAAAATGCCACATCTTTTTTATCCATTCCTCAGTTGATGAGCGTTTGGGTTGTTTCCAACATTTTACTATGATAAATTGTGCTGCCATAAACATGGGTGCACACATACCCCTGTGGTATATTTTTAATTCTTCTGGGAAAATACCCAGGAAGGGAATAACTGAGTTAAATAGGACCTCTAATCTTAGTTTTTTGAGGATGCTCCAGACTGATTTCCAAAGTAGTTTCACCGGTCTACATTGCCACCAACAGTGGAGAAAGTTTCCTTTTTTCCCCAAAGGCCCTGCAGCATTTGTTATTGGTTGATTTCTGGATGATAGCCATTCTCACTGGGATGAGATGAAATCTCAGTGTTCTTTTAATTTGCATCTCTTGAATGACCAATGATGTTGAAGAACATTTTTTCATCTATTTATTTACCATTTGTATTTCTTTATCTGAGAAGTGAGCGTTCATCTCTGGTCCCCATTTTTGGATTGGGTCTTTGAATTTTGGGTGTCTGATTTTTTTCAGTTCTTTATATGTTCTAGAGATAAGTCTTTTGTTGGAGGGACAGTTAGCCAAGATATTTTTCCCACTCTGTGGATTGTCTTTTCACTCTATCAGTGATTTCTTTTGCGGTGCAAAAAATTTTTAATAGGATGAGATCCCAGTTGTTGATTCTTTCCAGTGTTTCCTATGCAGTTTGTGTTTCGTTCATGAACTCTTTGGTTCGTGCCTACCCCTGTGTCTTAAAGATTTCTACCTACTTTCTCTTCCAGTAGACTTAGTGTTTCTGTTTCAATATTTAGATCTTTGATTCATTTTGACTTCAGTTTAGTGCATGGTGAGAGACATGGGTCTAGTTTTATGACACATAGAGAGACATTTTTCCAGCACCAGTTATTCAAGAGGCTATCTTTCTTCCAGTGAACATGTTTGTCCCCTTTGTCAAAGATAAGGTGGCTGAGTATGTTTGTAGTCATGTCCTCATCTTCTAATCTGTTCCACAGGTCCTGTGGCATCTTATTTAACATCACTGCAACCGTGCCAGTTAGAAAGAGTTGCTATTTTTAACAAAGAGAAAAACTGAAACTCAAAGAAATGATTTCCATAGCATATATAAATAGCAACATCCAGATTTAAATCTATATTTGAATCTAGAGCTTATTCTTTCCATGAAATCTTTCTAGTCAGGGTGAATGTCTTTAATTTATTAATGGAATCACATTTTATCACATAAAACTAACACTTGGTCATTACTTTCTATCGAAATATTTTATTACATGTATATTTCATTACATGATGTATTTTTATTACACATTGTATAATACCAATATCCTTTTGCATGGGTTGTTATACCTCCATCAGTATTTTTATGTAATCTCATCTCATCACAAAGAAACATTCTACATGAATTAATACACTCACTTCTTAAACTTAACATTTATTAAGTCCCACTATTTTCAGATGTTTTACTAAATTATAGAATATAGGAAGTAGGCCCCAGCTGAGTGTGGTGGTGCACACCTGTAATCCCAGCATTTGGGAGGCTGAGGCAGAAGGATTGCTGTACGTTTGAGGCCAGCTTGGGTTACTGGGCAACTTTACAACATACCAGTCCCTGGAGATGGCATCCATAATTCTGATTCAGCTTATGGAGGTGGAACCCGGGTTTTGTACTTCTAACAACTGTTCCCAGTTGCATTCACCTTTGAGAACTGTTCTTACAGAGGGGTGCATTTCAAATCATGGTCCTGCAGTATTAACGTCTCATGGGCTTGTTACAAAGCACTTTCTGTCCTTTCTCCAACCTCCCCACCTGTGCCAGAGTGACATGACAATCTGGTCTATAAGCCTTCTTGATGTTTCTGATGCAAGGAGAAGCTTGGAAAATGCTTCTCTAGAGACACAGGTTGAATCAGGTGTGGTACTCACTGCTAAGAATTTCTTCTGAATCCCAAGGAATTCTCAGCAGCTTCAAATTTGCATTTTAATTGCTTAGTACAGTTTCAAAATCTATAACTTTAAAGTATTACTATTCTTGCCTAACAAGTGTAATGGTTTTCCATATTTTTCCAGGCAGCCATTGAATGGAATGTTTTATAAGAATGTGCTGGCATGTGAATATCTATTAACAAGAGCCTTATGAATCTTACGTACATATTGTAGAGATAGAATTCTAAAATATAATTATAAAACAAAATAAAATGTCTTAAGGGGCAAACAAAGCATTTTAAAATGTCTTAAGGGCAATAAAGCATCTTAATATAGTCTCATATTTTTATTCTAGATAATACTATTGTTGTTATTATTGTTTTATACTTGCTACTGTCATCATCGTTAATGGAGCTTTTTATGAATTTGTGGCAGTATAATTGACATATAATAAACTAGATATATTTAAAACACTCAACTTATAAAAATTGGTAAACGGATGTACACCACTATCACAAAACCATCATAGGAAGGCAACTAGTTCCATTCAAGGTATCCGTTACTTGTGCAAGTCCACCCCAATGCAGAGTGGGGCTGCAGAAAGGCTCCCTGAGTAAGGTGACGTGAGCTGGGACTTCCATGGCCACAGGTCACTGGATGTCCATCCAAATGAGTGAAAAATGGAAAGGTTTTACAGAATAGAGATAAAGTCCCTCTCACCCAACTGCTCCAGACTTTTGTGGATTTTGTTACTTATCATGTAGGGATTTAAATGCTCTACATATCTAACCACTTTATTTCTTAAGATTTCAGTTCGCTTACTGGGGCTAGTGAAAGGCATAACCTGTTACAGAAAGCAGCAAGCCTGATTCAATCTCTGCAGTTAGTTTCTTCCAATGGAGTAACCTCTTTAGCTTTGGCCATCGATCCATTCTCTAGTGCACATTTCTCTGCTGCGTGTAGGACAGAGAACAGCACCTATAACCATGGTATTTTGATAGTGACAAAATCTAATATGTTGCCTTTCATTTCCTTTTAATTTTCTTTCTTCTTCCTCTTGAGCAAATTATGTCCTTAGATGTTCATTTATCGTTACCCACATGTGCTAGTAGTAGGACTTTGCTTTTGTATCTTAAATTCTCTCTCTTTCCCCCATGGTAGGTTGGCTTCATGAGCTGGGAAAGAGACTGGAATCTCCATACTATGGCAACAACACTCTGGGCGGCCCATCAATCCGAAGTGCCTACATCGCAGCTCTGTACTTCACCCTCAGCAGCCTCACCAGCGTGGGGTTTGGGAATGTTTCTGCCAACACAGATGCGGAGAAGATTTTCTCCATCTGCACCATGCTGATTGGGGGTAAGGGAGCTGCTTCTCCAGTGCAAAAGAAGGGGTCTGTGTCTGCCAAACTGTTTCCGTTCTGTTTGCCCTGTCCTGAAACACAATAGAGATAAATTGATCACACCGGAAGATTCTAAAAGCACTAATTAGGAGAGCAGTGACAAACATTTTAATGTACATATAAATCAGCAGGGAAAGCCTGTGATGTTAATGAAGTCCATTTTCTGGACAGATGAATAAGTACCTGATGGCTAATTTTGAAAGAGCAAGCACATTATTTTCTTAACGTGCTGTTTTCCTCCCGTGTTTGGGAGTTACATGAATCTGAGTTGCAGGTGTGTGTATAAAATTCCATTATAAAGTCCCAAACAGATCATGGTTATTAAGTTTTATGAATATTAACTAGTAAATCAAGGATACTGGGTAGATGATTTGGTTAAATGTGAAAATAAAAACAAAAGCTAAAAACACCAATAAGTAGTTAACATTTATTAATGGCTTTCATGTTCTAGTCGCTGCAGTTGCTTCCAGCCTTCCATGTTTTTGGATGCTTGCAGAACCAGCCTCACTGGACCTCCTGTGAGACCCCCTCTAGCGCAGGGAGACCACCATGGCCACCACCATCAGGAGGAGCCTGGCTTCTAGAGAGCTCAAGGCTCTTCCACTCCACATCTGTCTTAGATAAGCCCATTTCTTCCCCCTTATGCATCTAACTGTAAGGATGGTAACACTTTCCACATTTATTATGTCCATACTTCTGTGCTCCTTTTTTGCTCATTCAGACTTCCAACACCAGGGAACAAATCAATCTTTTATAAAAATTCCCTCTCTTGATAGTTCACACAGGAGCCTCACAAGGGAGAGGTGATGAGATTAGTGAAGCCAACACGATGCCAGTCGGAATATAGCGAAATCAAAATATAAGACCAAACCTTCTGCTCACGGAGCTTATGGTCCAGTTTGGAGGAGACATGCTGAAATATATGGAGAGAGCTGGAATAATATCCAGCAGTCAGTGCTAGGTGCCAGATCAGTTAGAAAGTTCAGAGCAGTGAAAAAAGAGTGCGGGGAGCAGGAGAATTTCAAGGAAAAGCAGAGCTGTCTCAGGCAGAGTTGCTGAAGTAGCAAGCTGGGACCACGGCGATTTTAAGTAGCTTTTGGCTGAAGTAGAGCATTACCAGCCTAGGGAGCAGAGAACAAGAACTCTCATTTTCTGTAGAGCTCCAGTGTGCCAGAGCCCGTGGTGACTATTTCATATCTAGTATTACGACTTACATAATTTCCACTCTCCTTGATGGGCCATCTTTCTGCCTAGCAAAATGACAAGGATTCTGCAAATAAACAATCTACAGTTATTTAATGTTTCCCCATGTTTCTTTTACTCATGGGAAATTTGGGGAAATGCACAAGGCTTAAGCCAACTAATCGGGCATTTGAAGAATCTGTTAAGGTAGTTGTGAGTGGTCCTGGATCAGAAATTGTTGAGGTTTAAGCTACTGCTTGCTGTGCCCTGCAGGTGGGCACTTCGCTGGCTCTATGCAAGGCCAAAGGGTAGAGGAAATAATCTGACGATGGCACTTTGCCCATTCTTTGTTAAATAGTTATGGAGCAACTTTCCTGGTACAAAACCACTGCTCGTGAGTATAGGACATCAAAATTTTCGGTGACTTGAGCAGCATTGAGGAAATGATTATCGTTGAGTGCCAAATGGCATCTGAGTGACTTGAATTTATTAGGTAAATATTTTAATATTGTGTTTGTGGAGAATAACTTTGTATTACTGTGAAAATTACCCCAGGCTAGGAAAAATGATGCCTGCATTTTTAATATTTCCTAATGAACTAATCATTTGCATGGCGTTGTGAAATAAACATAAGAGTTCACAATAGTAAGCACTTTGTTCATTTCATTTCCATAACACTGCGAGACAGTTATTAATACCACAATGTAGATAAAGGGTCGTAGAGGTTAAAATGCCAGGATCTGGCAAAGTTTTTGTAAAGTATCTACTTCATTTATACACTAGAAACTACTTTTACTTACTTAAAGTTTTTACATACACAAAAATAATGTATTTTTAAAAGAAAAAATATAGATATATATTGCCATGCTCTTAAGTTTAGACTGTCTTGTTAGGAATCTCAACACAAAGCTGATGAATTTGCTAATAGCAGGGATAAAATAGTTATTACAAAAGTAGATAATAACAATATCCAGTGAGAAGAACTTCCAGAATCCAGATAATTAGGACCAAAAAATGCAGAAGCTGAGTGAAGGGGAATGGGGTGGAAAATGCTGAGTTGATCAATTTGAGAGAACTATAGGAACCCCAAGAATTTCCTCAAGAGTTGCTCAGGGCTTATCTTTTAGATATATTAAACTTCAATAGTTAAAATATAAAATAAAGAGATTAAGTAGAAATAATTTTCAAATTTGTATCTAGATAAATCTCCATGAACTTTGAGAACACCAAAAACAAAGAAGTAATCCCAAAGCTTCACAGAGAGCTACAGTATTAGTATTAATTAAATGAAGCTAGAAAGGTTAATGGATAGAGGATCAGTATGTAAAAGTGAATTGTGTGTATAATCTAGTTACAGATAATTAGAAAATGATATGTAGAAAGCAATCCTTCCACACAGAAAACTAAAAAATAGGGAGAAAAATTACACATGGTTTTAAATAACAGAAGGATATAAATAGTAATGGCTAGTGATGATAGACTCAATGGCGTAATGATATCAGTTTTGCCCAAATTAATCAGAAGATTTAATGTAACCTAAACAAAAAAATTCCTAGTAGAGGTATATTTGTGTCCTTGTGTGAAAGTGTGTTTGAAAGTGACAAGGTGTTTACAAAACTTAGTAAAAATGAAAATGGCTAAAATGAATCAAAGAAATGATGAGAAAGAACAAAATTGGGATAGTTATACTACAGATATCAGATTGTATTATAAAGTTACAATAAGTAAGATGTATGGTATTGGTTGAAGAGTAAATCAATGAAATGGAAGAGTTTAGGAATAGATCCATATATCTATGGTCACTCTATTTGGGTCACAAGTGCTACTGTAGCAAAAAGGGGGAATGATAGTATTTCCAGTGAATGTTTCCGGCAAATGACTATCCATGTGTTGAACAGCAACTTTGACTTCTCTTAAAATTGTCCATGAGAATCAATTCCAGACAGGTTTTATCTAAACATGAAAGTAAAAACAATAAGATTTAAAGGATAATATAAAAGAATATTTTCCTGGCCTTCCTACTTGGCAAAAGTTTCTCACACATGACACAAACATTCTCATCATAGGGAGAAGAATAATAGATTAAACTGAGGAATTTCTCCATCTACAAAGACATTATTCATAACATGAAGAGGAGAACTACACGATGAGGGAAGATATCTGAAAATACGTACTTGTCGAAGGGCACTTCTCTAGTTCACTTAAAGAACTTTTGCAAATCTATGGGGAAAAAGAGACAGTTCCCCCAAAATATGGACAAAAGCTTGAAAAAAACACTTCAGAAATAAAATTTCAATACCTAAACAGACAATAGCCATAAAAAGTAATCCACGTCATTCATGGGCATGCAAACTAAAACCAAAATTGAGTACCATTTTATACTCACCAGAATGGTATTCTAAAAAATACTGGGAATACCATATATTTAGAAGGATACTGAACACATTGATCTTTCCTATACCATTGAAAATCATTCCAATTAGTACAATAATTTTGTCAACAACCAAACCTGAACATACCTCTACTCTGTGATTCAACAATTCCACTTCTAAATGTATAAGTAATAGAAATGTATACACATATGCATCAAAACACATGGATAGGTGTCCTTAGAAGCATTACCTTAAGAATCTCGAAAAACAAATGCCTAATTAATAGAAAAATGCTATTAATCAGGGAATACTTAGTAATGGGAGAACAAATAAGTAGCCTGTGACACAGCTATTCAGTAGACAACTGTACAATAAGGAGAGTGGATGTCGTAAAACTTCCATGTCTTAAAACTACACGGATAAATCTTACAAATTCAATGCTCAGAAGAGAAGCCAGAGCCCAAGAAGGACATCCTATGAATTTTATTTAGAGAAAAATTGATTATAATTCATAACTGAGCTTATTGATCATAATTCATAACTGTGTTTACCTTTGGTGAGAATAACGCTTAATGAATACGAAGAGAGGCTTATAGGATGCTATTAACCTCGTTACTCACATGCAGTATCATTCCATACTTGCGCTCATTTTGAGAAATCCCAATGAGGTATAATTTAATTCTTGTAGTTTTCTCTGTGTGCATCTTTCATATTAATTTTACCTTGTAAAATTACAGGAAATGAGCTGAAAATAGCTATCAAGTGAAGGATGAGAAGCTGACTAATAACGTGCTAAGGTCTTCCCCTTTTATCAGACTTTTTAGGTTCATCTTAACAATCATGAATCAAACAGTAGGAGCAAAATAATATTATGTATAATGTTGGTGATAACCACTAGAGAACCTATAAAATCATTTTTAGGGGCTGGGGATATAGCTCAGCGGCACAGCGCCTGCCTGGCAAGCGCAAGGTTATGAGTTCGATTCCCAGTACCAGAAAAAACAAACAAACAAAAAAATCATTTTTAAAAGACAGCTTTTGAGAAGCAAATGAAAGTGGAGATATAGAATTCATAAATCTTCTAAACCCCTTACTTAGAATTATAAAACTTTTTAAAGGCAGAATCAAGTAACAAAATGTTCATTTTAGTTCAATAAGTATTTATGGCACATTTGAACTATGCCAATTGTGCTAGACTTGGGAAACAAAGATGAACAAGATGGGATTCTTAGTTTAATGCATGGAGATAGACATGGGTGTAATTTTAGCCTTTGGCATGTAGAAAACCAGTTTTTCCAGCACCATTTATTAAAGAAGCTATCTTCCTTCCAGTAAACCTGTCTGCCCCTTTGTCAAGGGTAAGGTGGCTGAATATCTTTGAATTTGTTTCTACATCTTCTAAT